ATAAACGCCTTGCAGGGTCCACAGGGAGAGTTTTTATGGCTTAATATGGTCCAAAATGTGCTTTTAGACCACAGCGGTAGGCACTAACGCGGTGGATTTGTGCGCTTTATAAATCTTATTATTATTATTATTACATAATAATGTTATTCAGATCATGGAGGAAGAACCTCCATGTTCAGATAAGCAATTTTTTTTTTTTTATCCCACGACCTAGTCGTGCGTCGGATGCCGGGGGGGGGGGGGGGGAAGGACATTTCCAGCCTCCCCCAAACCCCTCCGCTGGCGCCACCACTGCAACGGACTGAAACGTTCATACGTGACATTTATATATATTCCGGTGGGAATGCGCTAAAATGACAATAATATTAATATATGCCTACTTTAACAATATAAAGAAATGGGATGACTAAAAATGAAAGAACTTTTGTAGGCTAAAGAAAAAGAATAGTTAAGAACAGTATTACTAATTTTTTTACCAACGTTTCGCTGTGCAATAGGCCTACTACAAGGGCCCTGGGCTAATCAGTCGTGCCGCCACAACGTCTCCATCCAACCAGGGAGTTGATCCAACGAAGAAATGCCAACAGTTCTTTCTAGGCCTAGCCTAGCCCTAATATGCCTATCTGTCTGTAGTAAGTTCGTAAAACGGTATGTATAAATGAATGCATTAACAGTAGACTAATCATTTCTGCAAATCATTTGCCTCATAGAATATTATTTTATCATACTGAAAGGATATAAAACATCAATAATTTTCACCCTATTTATATTGCATGATGGAGGCAGCCATATTTGTAAACTTTGACTTAATAATTAACTTTGTAATTGCTATGAAAAATATCATAAAAATTAATGTGTTAGATATTAAATATTGATCATTTAACAACATACATTATTAAATTAAAAATTATTTTCTACTAATACTATATAATCTATTTCATTAAACTATAAAAACATATTTTTAAAATTCGTGTTTTTTCACTCCTGGCGGCAGAGAATTTGATACTTTCCGATGACCTTGTGTTTCGTAGCAACAGAAGCCGAAAATTTTAATAATACAGTATTCCATGTTTACTTTCAGATAAGGTTTGAATAAAAAGTTCAGTATTGTGTAATATAAAAAATGAAGGATCTTTAGATTAAGTTATACTATTACCATTGGTCGGGCATACGCAATTTATTAATGGACATTAGGCTAGGCCTAACTTAACTAGGCCTAGGCCAGGTTAGCAAAAAGGAGCATCGGGGGCCGCATGTGGCCCAGGGTTCCACTTTGCCCACCTGTGCACTAAAGTAGGCTAGGGGTCTAGGCTTAGAAAGGACTAGGGCTTAGCATTGCAATTTTTATTTATTTATTTATTTGGTATATAGCAAATGACAACTACTAGGCTACTAGGCATATCTACAATCTGCAGCCAACAGCCAAGGCTGAAATCAGTGAAATGATTGCAAGGCTATAATATATTATTAGGCCTAGGCTAGGCTAGGGCCCTATCTATGGCTATATGCCGGCTAGGGCCTAAGCCCCTAGGCCTAATAGGCTAGCGAGGAGGCCCCTACCTAGCTCGGCCTAGTAGTGGTGGTAGGCTATGCCTAGTCAAGGAGTATTAAGGGAGTATAAAATAATCATTGTTGAATTATATTTGTGTTTGAAATAATTTTTTTTAAAAAAGAGTAGGCCTATAAGATATATAAAAATCCGAAAATTACATAAGATTATTTAAGAATGGACAAACTTTGACATTCATTGAACAGGTACTTCGCAAATCCTTATTTATGAAACATTTGAAAGGGGCAAAACATTAAAAATAGTAGAATAGAATAGGAATATAAGATATGATAGATAAAAATTTTAATAAATCTAAAAAAGAAAAAACACACAAACACCACAAAAATTCTTAAAAAAGGAGAGAAAAAAAACCAATATGAAGTGAAACATTAACGATAAAAACATAAGAAAAATTACATTGAAAATTACTAACTTAATTGAAACACCTAAAATTTAATTGATTACAACTAATTACGATGCATTATAAAATATTTGAATTGGATTGTCGCTCACAAAATTACCTGTTTTTGTTGCTTCTACTATTTTTTACACAGATGTAATTTTTCAACTAGCTAGCAGGAAGGTCTAGAATTATAGAAAACACCTTAATACTACTAGGATGGCCTCAATGAAAGTGCCTCGGAAAGCTGACAAGGGGACAGAAAAGCCAGTACCAAAGAAAAATGGAATGTACTCCTTGGGAAAACTTCCATTTGCTACAGTAAGTCTTGCATTCAAACAATGTTATTGTTTAACCTTGTCCTTTTGAAATCAAAGTGTTAAAAATAACTAGTAATTTATGAATTAATATTATTCTGTATTTTATAACACACCTAAATACATCCTTGTCATTTGATTGGTGGATTGTGTATCACATGACATTGGTTATTTACCCCATTTCGTCACTCATCATTAAAATATAGTTCCACTGTGCATTTTTACTTCGATCTGTGCATTTTTGTTCCATCTGTTTCACTCCATTGCACGGTGCCTCGGATACAATATGACTTCAATCTAATACAATCTTTTGATTGCTTAAAAAGATGCTGAAATGTTCCATTTAGAAAAAGCGTAGAATATATATATATATATTTTCATAAAATATCTCAATCTATTTTAGATGTGTTATAAAACAAATAATGTATGTATTTTATTTGCACAATGGAAAGAATATTTTCGTTAGTTGAAAGATTGACTGTTATACTCAACACGACTCGGCCTTGTTGAATGGAACAGTCAATCTTTCAACTCATGAAAATTTTCTTCCCATTGCACTCATAAACATTTATTATTTGTACATTATTTTAAGGGTCGAATAACAAATTTGTGGAGATGCACATCAATTATTTGAATTGCTGATGTTTTAAAATTATTTAACAATTGTGCATTTCGTTTCAGGCTGAAATAAAGAATAAATATGAAGATGTGTTGGGACCTCTCACAATCTTTGCTCCGTTCTTTCATGAAAATGGTTAGTCTCATATCAGTTCTAACAAATGTTGGTTATCATATAAGCCTAGTGTTGTTAGAAGTTGGGAAGATATAAAGACAATTAAATCATTATTTCAAATTGAAATTTGGAATTAAATTTTGGCCCCAATACTGATGTATATAACGGATAATGCCTCTCATGTGAAGGTCATCCATGGAGCTGAGAGATTGGTCTCTGGCAATTATAACCCGACACTAACCAGATTTGATCTGGGTTCTCGATATTTATGGATGTGTCAAACAGACTATCTGACAAAGTCTAATTAAACATGTTAAGTCTAAGAGAAAAACTCTGATAGTGTATTCTTGGCTTTATTTACAACAGTGATTTTTAAAAGAGACATAAGAAGTAGAACATCAATGCCATTAAGGGATTTTTATTTAATTATATTTTTAGTACCAAAGAAGCAAGAACTGAACCTTGAAAGGCCTGTCACACCCATTGACGTAAGTCTACTACATTTACTTTTTGGATAATATTTAGAATACAAAGACTTAAATTAGCATAATGATTGTCATATTTTATTATCGTTAACATTCAAAATGTTAAACCGTAATGATCCATGCTAGGTCTTGGCTGTGGCCAACCTAGTATTGTAAATGCTTGAATAAGCACCGCTGCGCTTATAAAATTTTTGGAGGCTTCACTGCGGCGCTTATTCAAGAGTGGCGCTTATTGGTGTGGTGCTTTCCATGCCCATTCCCATGTTATCGATCTCATATATTCCTATAGTTCAGTAGGCCTATCATAAGTCCTATGTCATCGTAAATAAACATTTATTAGGAAATGTTTGTGTCTTTATTGTATTATTTATTCATTTTATTTTTAACACTTTACACCCTGTATTTAAAACCGTGTTTCTCAAATTGTTTCCTTACACACAAGGCAATATACTCACGATTAAGCGCTGCGGTGCTTATTTGACAGCGGCGCTTGGCTAAAAAAAATCAGGTTTAGTATGGCGCTTATTTAAGCATTTACGGTAAGTATTAACATTCAATGACTTCATCATCATTATAGTCACTGTCATCATCCTAAAAAAATTAAAGTAAAGGACATCATCATCATCTTATTATTATTTAATATACTATTTATTTATTGATTGCATTTTGTACTTAATTTCTTTAGGAGAGTATCAAAGCGCCACCAGCCACATATCAAGACCTGGTTAAGCTGATCAGGAGGAGGATTGCTGCTGACCCACAAACCACACACCTCTCAGTTAATGATCAACAGACATTGGTATGTACCAATCTTAATCTGAAGCAGTGTCTTATGATGTTAAAGCATTAAGCATTTTGTAGGTAGAGTAGAGTTGTTAGTCTGGTATTTAACTGGATCTGACTTATTGGAAGGGAAGAATCTTAACCACCAAGCTCTGCATATGTCACATTATCACCACTGATATAATCACCATCATTTTGTAGCTTTTGTCCATTTTTGCCACAGACTTTTCCTCTAATTGTGGAGAATTGCTTACTGTTTTATGTGAAACTGGAAAAAATATAAATATCACAAAAAGGTACTATGTATTTTATTCAAATTCAATAAAAAATTGTTTGTCTCTGTTTACAGGCGGGAATCATTATAGGAGAGGTTAACAGTATTTGGCCTGACATTAGGCGTCAGGTGGATGACTCATTCTTGGTAGGTGAACTTAAGCTTTTCTGTGCCCTCTTAAAATAAGCCTCTTCTATGTAAACGATTTTATAATATTGAGTCATGACTTTTTGATGATCTACTTTAAAATGAAAAACAATCAGTTTGTGCAAAACAGTTTGTGAAATGACAATAAGATTGTTCTTGTTATTTATAAAATTTATTGTCAACAATCACATCAACATTGTTATAAATATTGTCATATCAACACCACCACCATTAGTACCTCCACCATCATCATTAATATAATGATCATCATCATGCATTATCTTTAAGTCTACATGATTATACTGATTTTTTTTCATTATTTAAGACACCAGATGAGAACAAAGAACTGCAAAGGAGAATCACAGTTCATATAGTTACTGTGTGCCAGCAGCTGTTTCAACACTATGTACAAAAAGCTACTAGTAAGTTACTGTTCATTCAACAATCATAGCTCCCTCTATGGCATGGTTCTTATGTTACTCAATATTAGAACACCATATTACAAAATATGGTGTTTGTTTAAAGTATGAAATTTAATATTTTATAAGTTATTTTTATAAAATTTCTCTTTTCAGTTCTCAATGAACGTGGAATCTTCAGTGGACCAGCAAACATGAGTCGCTTGAAGGCTCAACTTTCCTTAGATGCAACAAAATTGTAAGTGATACAGTTTTGCTGGCAAGAAAACTGTTCATGCAATTATATCTGATCAAAATTTTAGTCAAATTAACCACATTTTGTTTAATGTAAAATATTTTTTTACAGCTTGAATATTCTCATTATTCGACGACATATAGTTGCAGACATGAGGGGTCAAGTATCAGACTCTGAATATGATTCCAGTGAGGAACCAATAGAGGATGCTGGTGCAGGGCCCCTATCTTATCAAAAAATGGTAAGTAATTAAATTAGAAACCAAAAATAAATTAAGAGAGAATTGATTATTTACTGAAGAAAAACAAAAATAAGGAGAGAGAAATCTCATTTTAAATTTTGTTATGATAAAATTAGCATTGCATTTTATATTAGGCTCTTTTAGCAAAACAACCTTAATTCTGTTAACTATTATTTTAAAATTTTCAGATTGAATCTAGCAGACCTAAGAGGAAAAAACACTACAAACAGACTGTTAACCGAGAAGTTCGTGATTTGAACAGGAAAATGGCGACTATTGACATGTACAAAGTGCTAGACTATCTGCCTGATATTGAAGCCTTCAGTCCCAGTGAAGCAAGGATGGATCAGCCCAGCTCCATTGATGCTGGAACTAAAAAAGAAACTGCTGATGGTACACAGCCTTTAAAGTATGTTTGAATGTCTTGTGATGTTTTACACTTTTTCTGAGGTGGAATCCTGTGGCGCAGTGTGTAAGGCATTGGACTTTCAATCAAAGTTCGGGGGTTGGAGATAAATGCTCATTTCACTGCTAGTGTTCTGGAGCAAGACACTTTAATTACATTTGCCTCTCTTCACCCAGGAGTATAAATGGGTACCTGGTAGGAGGTGAATGATTCGGAATGAAATTAGTAGTGCTGATTACACGCATAACTAGGAATATTCTCCAGGGAGCGGAGGAGGTTGCATTTGTGTATGATTGATTCTGTATCCAATGACCAGGGCAAAAAGCTCTGTGAGAGACTATAAAAAATTCTAAAATTAATGTAACTGTATTGTAACTTTTTTGACTATAAATGTACAGCATTGATAGTGGTGATTTTTGTTATATTATATTGCTATTCATGTTTTTTTTCTCAAGTACTTTTGTTATTTTATAGTGAGTTTAGTTCTAATGTGACACATTTTCATTTTATTACAGGGGAGTTTCTTCCGAATCATTGCAATATAAACTTCAAAGGTCAAACTCGCTTCCACAGCTTGATCATGAGACACTTGGGCAAGAACTAGGTATCACAAAGAGCTCTCTTCAGAGGAGTTCATCCACTGTTCACTTGTACAATCAACAACAAAAACATGAGGTTTGTAAATCTTTGAGATATTTGATTGATTCAACATCAAAAACACTGATTATAATAATGATGATTATAATAAATATATTGATGATGCTTTGATAATGATAATGTACTTCATGATATGTTGTTACTGTTGAAGATGAAGATGAGGTTGATGATGAAAATAAGGGAGAAGATAATGATAAGATATTTATTGATGTTGATGAAAAAAATTGAAATTGGTAATATAATAAATATAATAATTAAGAGCCATACAATACAGTTTTAATGTAAATACCATTAAAACAAATGTGAAAGGGCCATTTCATTGATGTTGTTATGTTCTGTAAATAAAATCTGAAAAGATAGGTCACCTGATGTACTATTTTTGATTCAGGGTGTGTCTGATAAAATGGAAAAAATTGATGATAAACCAGACACAAGGCAGTACATGAAGAGGGATCTTGACAGGCTTAGCACATACCACTCAGCAAGGGTTGCAGCTCAGGATGAACAGTTACCAGAAGAAGAAGACCTACCACCTTTATTACAGGTATTCTACAATTTATTAATATCTTTATTGTGCATGAATCTTTTTAAAGTATAATTACACTGTGATGGTGAAAGGAATGGGCAGACAATTCTCGCTCTTTTTCCCCAAAGGTTTACAGTCAGGCACACACTACATTGGGTCAAGAATTGATCCATCTCTACTTTGTGTCAGAGTTGTACTATGTAATGGCATCTTTGTCAGTGGCAGTCTGATTGGATTTAATGGATGATCTATTGTGTGAGCATCGTTGCGTTGCGTTCTCAATGGAATCGTGTCAGCTGTTGAGCACCGTGCGTTTAAATTTATAATAATTATTTCATTGTCGATTTTCTCCTATCTAGGCTGTAGGTGATACCAGTCGATCTGATAGGAGACGAGAACTGATGCAAGAACACCTGAAAGAAATGCAGGAGAAAAGGTTGATACAGGAAGCTGATGATATGTAAGTCAGCTTCAATGCAACGCTGATTTGCTTTTAGACTTCAGGTATTGTGTATGATTTTGATTTTGATTAATTTTCTTTCCCTTGTAGTGTATACATAAGCGAACCAACACATCCACAGCCAGCCACGAAGACAACACGTTTAAAAAACAAGACAGTTATTCGAACGTCTGATGTTCGGGTCTCAGAGCGTGTTAACATGTCATCCATTACCCTCCAACTTAACCGGACCGTTTTCAACGAGCTGAACAATGAGGTGACTCCAGCAACAATTAAGAAGATGGACAGTAACTTGTTCCGGGGGAAAGAGATACGCGAGGTTTATAATGAAATTATGAAAACTCTACCAACAGATCATTTTGAATATGATGTGGTATGTTCAATTACATTACAGTAAAATGTATTGATAATTTGTGCAATAGACATTATGTTTATATTGTTATGATTATGATGATTAATACTTCTTACTTATTATACAATTAACATTTTTCCTTTTCTTTTTTGATTTTCAGGATGACTTTGTGGAGCCACCTGGACCTTACATTGATTTACATAATCTAGTTAACACAGCATCTTTGATGAAAAGTCGGAAAGAGCGAGTTCTGAACCCTGAACTTAGAACGGATGAGCTCCCACCTTGGGGCGTGGATTATGAAGAATGGTGCAAAAGGTACATACCTTTGATTTGTTGGGTGATAATAATGATAATAAATAATAATTGTAATATGTGATTATATGCAGAGAGCACAGCAATAAAGCTATAGAGTGTGAACATGAATACGAGTCACATATTGGTAACATTACCTGTGTCATACTGTAGGGTAGGGCAAGACCCTATTTTTCATTGTTTTTCTCTCTCCAGGAGATGTGTGCCTGATAGGAATTGATTTTGTACAAAAAGTGGCCAATGCTAATCAATACATGACTACTAAAACAGGGGATGTTGCACCTAGCACAATCAACTCATTGAAAGATGACTGAAATAAAAATAATAATAATTAATAATGTTATCATCATCTTTAATTACCATCAGTCAGTGTCATGTGTTAATGAATATCTTTTAATGGCGGTCAAATGTGTTGTGCTGTATATATATATATTGTAATTTTTCTAGTAGGTATATAATATATGAATTTAGAAAACCCAACATGGATATTGAAGATAATAATATTTGATATTTAAATATATAATGTTGAATTTCAGCCCAATCTTCAATGCATCATTTGCCAAGCCTCGTCCACAACGCACTACAGCGTCCCAACTGACCAAACTGACTGGTGCTCTGAATAGCTCTTTGAATCTCACCCAATCTGGCATGGATCCTAGCTATGGATTGGTAGCCCCACCATCTAATGGCTTCAGTTTTGAAAGCTCTCTCCAACAGAAGGCCCAAGGTCAAAGGGGCTTGATAGATGATCGAAATGAAAGATCATACCAGTCTTGGTTAGCCTGGTGGAAGAATACTATAAGTTCTGAAGACTATGTTAAGTTCTTGACAACACAGGTATAGTGAAATATTTATCTACCACCATGTTAGGTAGAAAGTTTGATTTGATTTCAGAAGATTTGCATAACATAAAAAATGCATTACCTGATAATCAATACTGTATAAAAAAGAAAAAAACTCAGATAATCTAATAAACATGTGAGTTTTTCCTTATTTTAGGAGTCCGATTTCATGGGTGCCATTTTCCACATGTACGACAGTGGACCTGAAGATGAAGATGACAATGATGAAGAAAAAAGTATAAATTCTGCCAAAGCTACACGATTAAAGTAAGTTTAAGTGCCCTCGAAAATACAAATGTTACTTGTTTCTAGAGTGTGCCAATCTCAAGCGTTCAAATCATTGCCCTTTATTTTCTTATCTGCAGAGAAACTGAAAAGGTTTCTCCAGTTTCTTCAGCTGCTGTTTTACAATTTTTTATTAATCAGTACTGGACCCTTAATGATTCAAACATTAATGTACTATTTAGCAATTAAAAATATTCGTTAAACTGTGCACTTTTCGAAAATTAGTGCATGAACAAGCCATTATAGTGCATAGGCTTTCTCATAGGTTTATTCTGATAATAGAGCAATTGACCAAAAAGCACAATTTCATCCTTTGGCCTCCCCGGCTATTGGATCTAACCATATCTTGCCTAGGATTTGTGGGCTTAGGGTTTTCACAGGACAGGGGATGTTTTTTATTTACAAATGCCATTTCTGCTATTCGTAGACAATTGCATCATCAAAAGGCAAATAACATTTCAGTTGAACGGATAAGAGGTCAAATAGATCAGGCATTATCAGTAACAATGATTGATGTATATTTTTTGTTCAGAGAGAGGGAGGAGAAATTAAATGAGTTAAAGAGCAAGAAGACTGAGTTTACATCTGGTATGTGGAATGTTAACTCTGTGATGCTTGGAGGACTGGGCAACGATCCGGAAATTGAAGGTATTGTAAATATTCAAATGTTATGTCTTTTTAAATATTTGATATTATCATGATCACTATTTTTTCTGTATGTTGATTCCTAGGTTGCGTTCTTTAATCTACTTAAGCCAGACGTACACTGCATGTACTACCATAGGGGGACAGATCCATCTCCATGCTCTCTGTGAGCACTTGACAATGCGACAATGTCTATTATATTGTTGGTGGTACACTGAGCAGATTTGTCAAAAAAATAATCTTTTCTGCACGCCTTTTCACATGTTCCCAGTGGAATCATGTTGACCGATGACTGTCAGTGCAGTGTGTGCATTGTTTTTAGAATAATATGGATTGAAGTATGAGCTGTGTTTTCTTCTAAATAAATTAGATACAGTAAATCTGGTACCAATTTAGGGTAAATACATATTGTGACTTTTAACTTACAGGTGACAATCTTTATAAGAATGAATGAAAAATTATGAGCTGCTACTTTCAAGTGCTTAAAACTTTGTGTAATCTGTTTTACTCTTTCGATTATCAATTAATAGTTGAGGAAAATGATGAAGAAAGCTACTACACTGCAGAGAATATTCCAACCGTGCGCCGTTCACACTTACGTACAAGACTAGGAAGCAGGTCACAGTCACAAATCTCCATGAAGTCGTCTGCCAGTGGTTACGGTCTGCTGAACGTGGGTCCTATAGAATCCAGACCTGCCTCAAGAAGTCAGTCACGTTTGAGCATACAAGATGGAAGCATGAAGTCCGGTTTAGTGGTATGTGTACTTATTTTTGTTGCTTAGGCAATACTTTTTTATTCATTGCTTCGGGTACTTATTTATTTTTTTTAAGATCATTGGAGGAGGGCGGAATAAAAATAGTATTTTGTTTTCTTGTTTAGCAAATAATTTTGCCAAAAACATCCAGATGGAGGAGAAAATAAATATAAAATTTTATTAGTGAATGTAAAACGGGATGGTTAAATGCATCAAAATTATATAATTAGGAGAAATATACATATCTTACTGTTTGAGATTTCAAGGCAGCAGAAGGCATAATAAAAATAAAGACAACTTTTTTCCTGAAATTTCTTTTATTTTTCATGGCGCTAATTGGCCAAAAATAAAATTTTATTTTTATTTGAATTCATCAGCATTTGCATTCGGCGGGTTCTGTATAAAAAATTCTTGCCTTATTTTACTTTTGTATTCCAGTACCAAAGTTGGAGTAAATATTTTGTATTCATGTTTTGATATCAGAGGGTGTGTCTGGGTAGATGAGACTACATGATGCTGCCAATCTCATGACAGTGTATTCTGGATGTTTTCATTTTCAATATTCAGAGCTTGATGAATGAGTCCAAGTTTGCACTCGTATGTAATGATATTGTTTACATTTCAGGTACAGCAAAAGGTATTATAAAGTAAATGGTATTTTGTTTTGCATTGATTGCAGAAATCACCTGGTCAAAATTCTCCAAGTTGTACAGCTGGCACAACTGTTTCAAGTCCACAGCATCGCTTGGAGAAGATATGGGCCGCATTGCAAGTTCCTGATAACCTTCGGTTGGACATGGCTATCAAGTACAGCTCCGATGGGCATGTAGAAAAACTAGACAGTGTAAGGAGAAATTATGTTTACCAATACAAAATATTACTGTGTATCAACATATCACCACAAAGAATAGACATGTGACATTTTCTTGTGAAAACCAAAATCGCAAGTACAAATTTGGAGAAAATGTTTGGTGTTTTATTACTTTGTCCATATTTTGTTTGAACTTTTCACATATACACCTTGCAAGCCTCTTCACCAATTTTCCTCTCCTCTCATAATGACTTTGTAGAATTTCTTAAAATAAACATATGCAAACACTACTACTGTACTGCTGCATTGGAGGAAAAGGACAGGATGCCTGGAGAGCATGGAAATTTGGATTATGGATTGTTAATGATTGTGTTATGCAAATGCTAGCAAATTTACAATTATTTTCCACATTACATGCTCAAATATAATTTGTTGAATTTTAGTGTATTGAGCATTGGGAGTCTGCAATGGTTTTGGTTTTAGAGCGCGAGGCAATCCTCGGAAGACTTGAAGCATTTGAGCGTCTTGCATCTGATCCAAACAGGTTCTTCCAGAAAGGTAAGTGCAAGTTGTGTGAATAAATAAGTGATTGAATAAATGAATGCATTAATTTTCCAGCTTTGCTCTTCCAGTACAGTACGCACTATACATACTTATATTATTATTTAGAAAAATTAGAACATCAAAATATTGTACTGTAGGTAATAAAAATTACAATATTTAAATAATTTTTCAAAAATTTCAATCTTACCATGTAAAATTACTTTAACTCTTAAGAACTTCAGTGAATAGTACACTTATTATATTGTGATAATAAACTTGTAGGTTACAGAGGTTTAGCCACTGCTCGACTTGAGGAGGCACGACAGAGAAGTCACATATATCTGCAACTGGAGGAACTTGACAAAAAGGTGAAAAAGAAAGTACAGTTTGTCTGCAAGGAATTTGGGGATGTAATAACATTTCAGGTATTGGTTTTGTGATTCTATCAATTAACTGTAATGTATTAAAAAAGAATGAAATTTAATCTTATGATTGATGTTGCTACATATTATTTGATGAATATTAGTGAAATAGTAAAGAAATTGTGATAAGTGATAATGGATTTATATCTCATCTCTTTTCAACTGTTTAATTTTTATGTGGGATGTTGTTGTGGTTTTCAGGTTTGGTCTCACTTTTTTCTTACTCAAGGTAACATCCTTGTCTCAGTAGTGCACAGTAGTAGAGCCACAGGCTTATCCTGTACTTGAAAGTGCCGGAGCCCAGTATACTGCCTTTTATAGATTACCTACATGTAAATTGCCTCACTGAGACAGCAATGTTACTTTGCGACATCGGTGGGTAAGGCCACTTAAATGTCAACATCTTGCATCGCTGCTTATTTTATTTTGTTTATTTTTATTATGTTGTTAAGTGCCTCGAGGTTGTTCACATTAGGCGCTCTATAAATATTTACTATTGTTAAATACAAATGAGAAATCAGAGTAAATATTTTGATGATTTTCATTTTCATACAAAGTGTAGTTAATTCAGATTTCAATATTGTATATTAAAAGCTGATTTACATACATTTTGTTATGACCAATTAAATGGTGTGTGCAATCAATGTACATCAAAGGTTGTGACTAAAAATATTTAAATGACATATCTTACAGGGACGTCCATATCTAGAGAAGATGAAGCTAGATCGAACAGAGATGTTGTACTGGTTACAACAGGAGCGTCGACAGCATGCCCTTGAGCGGCATGCTATGGTGCAAGAATACAAGCTAAAGATGGCAGAGCTTCCACCACTTGGTGCTATCCCAGCTACACAGTAACAGCCTGATGTTGGGGAAGGGGGCGGAAAATTGGCTTGATTCTTCAATGGTGCATATTTTTTTTTAACTCATCATACAAAATACCTTGCTACAATAATTTTCTTCCATATTTACACTTAATATTTATCATTTTAATAATAGTTAGGTTTATGTATCTTTAAAGATAGTTTTTGAAATTATGTTTCCATATTTAATATTGAATTTTCTTATTTCAACAAATAAAAGTTATCATGTTACTAAATTCAAGTTGTTATAAATTCTTCCAAATATCTAATTGTACTATTTATTGACCACATTGCAATCCATTAAAAAAAAAATGATTTGCCGGGGATTGAAACTGTGTACATATCTGATAGCCAGATTAATAGCAAGTGTTTTTGAACACCAGATACCATCTATAACTGAATTGCAGATGGAGACTATAATATGAAATGTACATACACATAGAAGAGTTATTTTTAAATTATGTACATAAAATACTTTGTACAGTGATATACAGTAATAACTAAATGTAAATTTGATGTACAGTTGGATATACAGATTAAAGCCAATTAGTATTTGAAAACATGTTGTATTCCTATCATAATATGCAAATGTTCAATCAACATTAAGTTTCTTTCTGTTTCCACAGCTAAATCTTTAATCTCTTAAAAATATATTGAGCAGAAACATATCAAATCAATTTACTCTTTGTTGCCTGTCACCACACAACAGTTTGTACCTGTTTTTTATCAAATAAAATAACGTAATACATTTTTTTTTTCAAAAACTACAGTAAATGCACAAACTACTTTGTGCTAGTTTTATGCCTTTTTGTGAAAACAACATAAATTATGTTTACAGTATTTAAGAACATGTCACAAACTACTGTAGTTTGTTGTGATGGCAGGAGTGCCATGTATGTTGGAAGACGTCACTTCTGGGAATCTGTTTAAATGAGCTATTTTAACACATTTAATTGTATTTTGCAGTGCAGGGTGATACCCATTAGCACAGAATTCTTTGAGGCAATTCATTATATAGCATACAGTACTAAAAATATGCAAATACTATGAATTTGCTTGAGATTCTTGTTGTTCGAGTGCGGGAGGCCATCCCAATTTCATGGAAATTCCCTCAACTAGCAGGAAACTTGGGATCTCTGTGATGGTATGGATTTGCTTAATGGCCGTTTATTTTAGGATGGTGATGATACTACATTTTGTGGCAAGTCAGATTCCAGTGTTCTACCTGCCGCATCCTCTGTTGGGCTGTGCACAAAAGCTAGCAGTAACTTTAAAGCTTCGTCGTTCACATCCCTTGCAACGCCATCCTTGATATCAGAGTACAGTGGCACATCTTGTAGATGCCAACAGACGTTCCTTCTGGGGTTCTTTGCTTCATTTCGTTCATCTATTGCTAATGTGTTTAATTGGTAGCAGAAGAAAGAGAGTCTTTTTCCATCAAAGACTATTGTTTGGGACATCATAGGTTTTTCCAAGTCCCGATGACAGAATTTCACTGGAATAGAAATAATACAAATATATAAGAATTAATTAATATTATAGTAATAGAGCTTGATAAAATTTACTGCACTGGTACAGGTATACACTAAATACAGAATAAAGTTGTATACATTCAGTATACTACAATATATATGGCCAAACATTTTCGGGCACATTATAAATATTAGTATTGATGGAAAAGTGACATGCCCATAATAAATATAATGTACTGCACAACTATTAGCTACACTTACTTTGGTAGGCTGCTAGGGCTGACAACATTCCGAATGAGCTTGAAATGCCTTGACCAATCAAAACATCTCTCACAGAGCTTTTCTTTGAGGTGCATCTCTTCCGGTCCAGTGTACATGAGAAAATTTGTGTATGAGTGAACTGAAAGGGGTTTCCTACTTTAAAGCCTGTACAGAAGAATATATCAATCAGTATTGAAATGAAAACATGCATACAGTATCCAGAATAGAAATTTGCTCAAGGCACAACATGATACAAAGCAACATAGAATAGGGAGAAATGTTTTTTAGAAAAAGACTGCATATCACATTTTCATTGCAAGACAACCAAATTTTATGTAAATTGACAATATTATATTTTATGCTCTATTCTCAAATTTACAGTTCATAGCAATAAGGCTAAATTTTAAAATTACTTTTAAGTACTGTACCAATTTTAAAGTTCAATTAAGGCCAAGAAAAAAAAAATTAGTTTCATGTCCTAATATTTATGAAAAAAGAGAATGAGGGCAAAAAAAACAACAAAAAAAACATTTTAAAAGCTGAATTTGAGTAAGACTTTATATTGAGTCTCATGTTGGTGTTGTTGATCGAAATTTACCTGGGAAAAACACAGGATTTATGTGCTTCTCAAAGACACTTATATTGCCTGGAGCATAATCCCAAGCAGCCACATCCCCAACAGAGAGGTCACTATCTCTTGAAGTAAACTGTAAATAAATTAATATGAGAAACAAAACTATATATATATATATAAAATTTGAATATTTAAAAATTCAATGTATATTTATATGCAGGAAACAGACTCACCTGAACTAATGGTACCTTAGTCCGAATATGGGCGTTTACTGGTGTGTCATACATAAATTTCTGTTTTCCTCTTATCCAGTAGGACTTGATGTCAACATCATAATCCATGTCTGCATCATGCAAGTGAGCAGCTTTGGACCTTTGAGAATTAAACAGTAAGTTTGCAAGATTTCTGGTCAATCTTTTTCCAGTATACAACCATTCGTTAGCCTTATCGACTTTGTGGGTATAGTGAAAATGTTGTTGCAAAAGCAAATCTTTCACGTACTCTGTAAGTGAGTTGATTTCTTCTTGTACAAAATCTTCTTCAGATCGGGATACAATTGTTTCTGGTAACTCATCAACAACGACGGTTTTCGTCGCGTGTTTGTAGAAATCAAGACTTCCTACATGATAATGTACCGGCCTAAGTAAGTAATTCCAATCGTTTTTCTTCCAAATTTGGTACATAAAGTCGGATGGTGTTTCTTGATCAAGTATTTTGTCTATCGCTCTCCGAGTCAACCGTTCTTCCCAACTCAGAATGGGCTTTATAGCCGGATATTCTGGTATTGTACCAATTTCATGTGGATCTAATACAGGTCTTAAATGACCACGCTTATACCTTTTATTGATTGCTACCATATATTCCATAAATTTCGCCTGTTTTAGTAACAGGTTAGAACCCCGTTGTCGAACCATGGACGCAGCCATTTTGAAGTTCACATGTCAAAGTTTATACAATAGAGGGCACTCTGTGTGAGTGGCTGGATTGACCACCTGATCTTGCATCATGTGACTATCCAGGTTCTTAAAAAAAAGACAAAGCAGCTGGTTGTGTTTCGCTGCCGTATCGATCGTGCTTGAGGACACACTATTGAGAGTGAATGCTCATCCAATGCATTATTTATTTATTTGACCAGCAAGTAGTATAGGCATACTCGACACTAACAGTAAAATGGCAGCCTTTGATTTTGTGCCGGTTTTGGAACGAAATGAAGTTCCTGCAGACATGGAAAAAAGGTAAGATTCAGTGAAATAAGCAGGCTGTTGTTTGAACCACAGACCCTATATACTGTAGTAGCACTATTTACCATAGGCCTACTAGTACTAGAGAATGAAGTTTGCCTATATGGCTAGCAGGCCTCATGCCAGGCCTAATTAGCTAGTAGAGGCATCCCTGGCACTGCTGGAGACCTGATTGGCTGGAATCTGGAGATGCATTATTGGTGACAACATTATTACTTAGGCCCATTAAAAATATATTAGTTATCACCCCTCACTTATCGCTACGCTACCTACCCACATTGTAAGCAGGAAACCTCTTTCTGTGCTGAATAAAATGCCCCGTGTAACTTGTTGTTAAATGCTGATGACTAGTGTGTCATTCCAACACAATGTTTCACCTCCCTCATCACTTTTCAGCCTAAATAGGGTGATAAATTAATAATATTTTTATAGGGCCTTAATATCAGAATTTAGAAATAATAATAAAAGTATGTATTGTGTTTTTTTTTTCCTAAATAAATATTCAATTGTGTTTGTTATTCTCTTGTTGTACTTGTGGTCACTGTTGTTTACTTTTTAAATAAATATGAATCTTCTAACTATTTTTATCATGCTATTTTTGTATTTTACCAAGTTTACAAATTCAATTATTGTTATTCTGAAAAAATATTTAATTTAAATTCAAATATAACAAATTTTATGGCAAGATTTGACTTCTTAAGAGTCATTTTGACTTTCTAACCCTTTTTGGGCTAAATCTGGCTATGAAAAACTTGGTACCAAAATGACCTGGATTCTACTCCTCTAGGAGTTGTGATGTACTAGTGATGGTAGTGCATTACTGTACCACTGCTCTCTGCATTGTTATTTAAAGTCAAAGCTACATCACCTAGCTACATCCCACCTCCAGAATATATTTAATGGCATGGTAATTTACACACATTATGCTTTTTGAAATAGATATATAAATCTCACTAAGAAGTTTGAAGCACATTTTGGATGTAAACCAACATATTTGTGTAGAGCACCTGGAAGAGTGAATCTAATTGGTAAGAACATTAAACAAAATGAATTATATTTATTGATTGTACTGTATTTTATAAAAGTATTTTATTGTAAGTGTAGCACCTGTATTTTAATCATGTGATTGCCTTGTTTTGTCAGGTGAGCATATTGATTACTGTGGCTACTCTGTTCTACCAATGGCCATTCAGCAAGACATTGTCATGGCAATATGTACAAACCAATCACAACAGCTACATCTTGTAAACACTGATCCAAATTTCAAGTAAGGATAATATATTTCCTTTAAAAACTGTCTGCCAAGTATTCAGAAAATAACATAATTTATGAACAGACAGAATAAATTAGTTAATACTGGTTTTACAGGCATTATACTAAAAATACTGTACCCTTACATTTATTACCAGCCAATTTGAATAAGGCTCTATAGTGTATGAAAAAAAAAATACAGCAAACGTATTATTTAACTGTCCGTAATTGACAGAGAAAGGTTTTTTTCTTCATTCAAATTAAAAAGTCTAGTGATGGCTTTTTTAATATTTAAAACTTAACAATGGATTTATTATCATTTCAGATCATTCTCTACGAGCATCACTGGTTTTGTGATAAATAAAGAAAAGCCAGAATGGCATAACTATGTGCTATGTGGCTTGAAGGGGATTGCTGAGTTTAGTAAACTAGAAAATCCTGTGGGATTAAATATCCTTGCAGATGGTACGGTTCCTAGGAGTGCAGGGTTGTCAAGTTCCAGTGCCTTAGTCTGCTGTGCCGGCTTAACTATGATGCATGCTAACAACCTGAAAATTTCAAAGGTTTGTTTCTTAATTAACTTATTGCTAGTTAATCCCATTATTTTTTGTTTTTATCAGATTTAAGTATTGCACATCTGTTGATGGCTCTAATTTCCTTGGTTATTGTAGAATCAACTTTCACAATGAGAAACCTCCTCTGTTCCCAGGCTGTATGTTGCGGAGCCTGCATCAACTGCTCAGCCAATCAACTTTGCCATAATAAAATGTCTCGTCCAGTGATATAAGCAGTGTCACTATCGTTTGTTACAAACTCACAATCTCTCATTTGAAAGCCTGAAGCCTTAATAGCTGAAACCCAGGACCAATTAGAATGTGCAATGCATTATGTAATATTGAGTAAATACATTTTTATTTATTGTTGTTGTTATTATTATTATTATTATCTATCATTAATATTATCATTTTTACTAGCTGGAATTAGCAGATATTTGTGCAAAGTGTGAACAGTACATTGGAACACAGGGAGGAGGAATGGACCAATCAATTTGCTTCCTTGCTGAGGCAGGAAAAGTAAGTTAATGTGGCTTTGTAAAGCACATTCTAAAGAACATTTAACATATGAAAATTAAGTTATGAGGTGCCTCTGACCAGTCGACGGCAAAGAACAGAAGGTGATATTTTTTAACATGCATAGGTGACTGAATCTTGATTTACTAAAATAGTATTATGATAAAGTCTAAGAGAACCATTTTGAATACAAACAAAATATACAGTATGAAGAAATACTGTATCCAATGGGTTGTTTCTTTTAGCGCAATAATTTTATAATATTTGCTTTATTTTCATTCTAATTGTTTCAACAAATCTTTTCATTTTATAATGTTATTTTGCAGGCTAAACACATAGAATTTAACCCTCTTCGTTCAACGGACATTGTGTTACCGTCTGGTGTCAGTTTTGTCATCTGCAACAGTTGTAAAGAGATGAATAAAGCAGCCACTTCTCATTTTAATAGAAGAGTTGTAGAAGACCGCTTAGCTTGTCAGGTAAATGTTTGAAAGTAATTATATTAATTTATTATAGTTATTGTATACAAGATACTGGATAATTTTTTGCTGAGATATACAAGATACATACAAAATTTGAGTGAGGTTGATGTATGTAATTATAGATATACTGTACTGTAATTTGACATGTGCAGCAGTGCATATGACTATATGATTGTACTAAAGATTATTGATTATTATGAGATTTGAAAACACATAAAGGGATTTATTTTTTATAATGATCATCATTAGCATCTTCTTTATTATAATGTTAATCTGTATTATTTGATGCTTTTATTATTATGACATTGTTTAATATCTACCATATTTTTATATTTTTTAATTTGTAATATACAGTACAGTAGGGCTACCATGCCATTATCATTCCCTCGTTACCATTTGTTACCAAAATGTTATTCCTTATCACTGTCGTTAGAAAACAATTATTATCTTGACTAATAGATAATGGCAAAGAATAAAGAGTTTGAGTGGAGGAAGTTGCGACGTCTAGGCAGTCTTCAGGAGACTCTGGGTTGTTCATTTGAGGATATGTTGCAACTTGTAGAGGACACATTTAAAACTACTCCATACAGCAAACAGGAAATATGCCAACTGTTAGAGGTAACGGAGGAAGAACTGAATGCAGAGAGCCTCAGTGACAACACTCTTCAATGTAAATACATATAGCATCAGTCATGCTTGTCTATGGTGTCAGGAACACTTCTTTAAAACAGTATTAAGAGTTTCCGGGAGTTTAGAAGTGCCGATTCTTAAAATTTGCTCTAAACACGATAGAGATGTGGTGAATTTGGACTCTCATATTTGAATTTTGAACTTTCGATGGACCTCTCATCATGTAATGTCTCGCACTCATTACCTTAATAGTACTGTGGTTGTATTTACCATTATCGCATAGAGACATTCCAACATCTTGAACTATAAATTTGGGAGACTGGATGTGCGCTGGTGAAGTTGTCCCCCACCCCCCCCCCCAACAAATGTTGTAGTACTAGGAAGAATAAGTTGGCCCTTAAAGAAATAATTGATGCAAAATACTTAATTATTGGTACTAAAATTTATAATAGTAATAATGATAATAATAATAATAAAAAAACTTGTAATGCACCAATTCCATGTATAATGACCAAAGACGTGTATGTTTAGAAGCCAAGCTGGTAAAGAGATGTGTTTTTAAAATTAAAAAGCCACTCAAATACCCAGTTTTTGTTTTTGGTATTTTGGGATTCTTTTTTTGAAAATTTAGGAGAATTTGACCAAATTTGGAGACTGTGAGATTGCATGGAAATTGGGAGTGTTGGAACGTATGCACAGTACTGACAATACACATAATTTCTTTATACCAACCAGAAAAAATGATAATAAAATTAATTATCTGTCACTCTATTTTATAATTTCAGTGCAAGAGTTCAAGCTACATGACCGTGCTAAACATGTCTTTAGTGAGGCAAGTCGTGTCCTTCAGTTTAAAAAGGTCTGCAATGAGGCTCAAAAGGACGCTAATATTTTACTGGGAAACCTCATGAATGAAAGTCATGCAAGCTGTAGAGATCTGTATGAGTGCAGTTGCCCTGAGCTGGATGAAGTAGCCGAGGCTTGCAGGTAGGCAGTAGGGTGGTTTGTGTAAACAATAATTCAATTCAAACATTAAAAAAAATAAAAATAACAATAATTACTTATGCTGAAAGAGGTTATGTATTCACCGCTCTGTCAGTCTGTCTGTCTGACTGTTAGCAAGATAATGCAAAAACTAATTAATGGATCATCATAAAATTTTAATAGGGAAATGGTACAAAATAATAATATAAAAAAGACACCATTTACTTTTCAGAAGGAAAGGTCAAAGGACAGGGTCACAGAAATCAGATTTTTTTTTTACCTTCTACCATAAAAAAGAATTATTGAATCATCCCTTATATTCAGGCACAATCAAGAGGTGCAATGTCCCTGAACACGACGTGCGATTCCATTATTTTCTTGAAGGTATGCTGCAGCACTTAACATAATAATGTGCCTGAATACGCCCCTCATACACGGCCTGTGTATTCTCCTGTATTCAGCCACAGGGCGGAAAATAATGCAATCACTCATTATACACTGCTTGCATATTGTTGGTATTCAGGTACAAGGTGGAGGTATGCATCTTATGAAGTGACTGCTCATTGATAATGGAATAAATCTCCTTTTGTGGAACCATCCCTGTCTCCCAGTAAGCATTCCTAGTACAAATCAGTCACTACTGTCCCAATTTATACTTTATAATCCTACATATTGTGACATTTTCTGTTAGATTTGACGATAATTTTTGTTTCTAGGAAAGCTGGAGCATTTGGAGCAAGACTGACGGGTGCTGGATGGGGTGGATGTGCTGTTGCAATAGTTCTGACCAAAGAGGTTCCAGATTTTATCAAATCAGTCCATTCCACATTCTACAGTGTAAACGCAAAGCGGGAAGAAAATATTAATGATAAACTGTTCGCCACTGAGCCTGGTAAAGGTGCTGTCATCTACAAAGTCTGATATTAGAACATATCCAAAAATAGTTCTTTTGTGATTGGCTGCTAGTAATTAAGAAATGAGCAGTGGTTTGTTATTAAATATGAAATATAAGAGGCTTATGATTCGCAGCTACCAGTTTTAATTGTACCAGTATGAAATATGTGGAAGATTTTTAATGCATAACATTGATGGGTCACATTTATAATTTTAACTTTTTACAGAACTTCCAACAGCAGCAATTTATCTTTCATCTTTTAAATGTATTCAAATTAAACTAAAATCTTCTATTTTTTCCAAATTATATATGAATCAGAAGTTATATACTGTACATACAAAATTGTACATCCTCTTAATTATCCTGAAATGGAGTTTCCAAAATAGATTGTCTGTTGATATTACAGAACGTTTTTTTTTTTTCAAAGAAAAACTGAATACATGTTTCAGTATTAATTTCAGAGTACCTCATATTTGTAAAAGTATAGCCCATTCTACCTTTTTTGTCTCAGCAGAAACAGTGTGAAATGGCCATCCAAACTGTTTTCAAGAAATAAGAGTTGTTAATAATTTTAAACTTAATATTAAAGAACGGTATCTCACTTTCTTTGAATTTCTGCAGATATTATTCTCTTGAAGACGATTAAAGCAACTCAATCAACACGTCGAAACATTCTCAACCAACAACAGTTCTTTTTAGAACTATCTACATAGTGTACCACAAGCATTAATATATAATAAATAATAATAATAATAATAATAATAATAATAATAATAATAATAATAATAATATATTTATTTAACCACAGTAACACTCAATTCAACAGTAAAATTTCATATATAAAAATTACAACGTTGTTCTTCCGTGGACAGTTAAAATCATAAGAACATAAAAGTACAAAGCAATTAAAGTCACAGAAGAATGGCACATGACAATCAAAGTTTTTAAACAAATTTACAAAAGGAAGACAATATATAGAAGGGGAAAATGATCCACTGAAACAGAAAGCACTAGGCTGGATTTGAACATTTTCTTTTAAAATCAAGTAGTACTGAAACAGAAAGCACTAGGATGGATTTGAAAATCAAGTAGAGAGATGTATTTGCTTAAGCTGTTTTTATGGTAAAATTTTATCATTTATTTAATTCTTAGAAATTTTAAACTTTTACAATTTTTTTCATTTTTTTTAAATCGTAAAAAATTTAAACGTGTCAAACTTTAATGTTTTAAACTTTTAAATTGAATTTGTACACTTCATTGAAATGAATTGTATCTTCCATTTTTTTTTTATCTAATTTTATTCGTCTTTGCCGTTTTTTTTTTATCTTGCTGATTTTTTACTTCTGTGTTTTGTATTCTCTTTTTTCAAATGTAAGGACCCCAGTGGAAATAAGGTTTCTTTTTTACCTTTCTTGATCCTGAAATTTGCTAATGAAGTTTCCAAGATAGAATCTATCTATTTTGTTTACTTAGTTTAAAGTTTCTGTGGTAGCAGATATGGCAGTGCGTAAAATCTTGAGGTCGTTAGTTCGAATCTCTAGCTATGCATTTCACTTGAGTACTAGCAAGCCATTACCTCTTAACTTTGCCTATTTTCACCTTGGGTTATAAAAAGGTTACGTAGGATGGTTTGGCAATGAATGTGTTACTGTACAGTAGTCTGCACAATGCATCACGTAGGTTACTCGAGTCGAGAAGGTTGCACAAGTTGACCGGCTTGCAAATATGGATCCACATGACCAGGGATCATCGCCAGAGCCTTGTGTTATTCCTTGGCAAGAGATGTATGAATTCTTCCTATGTTGTCACTCGATTACAGAAATACCTCAGAATACATTGTTTTGGCTACAGGTATTCATTAATCATAAATCATCATGAACAAAAACGTATCGATATATTTTCTTTATCTCATTGAAATTCCGAAGAATTATTTAAGCTATTATATATCATATTGATGGAATTGATATTTTATAACTAATAAATAAAATAAGGTCACAGATGGAGTCAGTATATGGTGTATTTATTTTAACTATGGAGAAAGAAGTTCATGTTTAATGTGTTCTTCTCATAATCTGTATATCGCGATATTAACCCGCTAGGGGGCAGTCTTTTCTTTTCGTTAATTCATTGGAGATTCGTTACTAAGTACCATGCCTATTACTGTGTTACAGGTATTATTGTTTTTGTTGCCGCTAAAAATAAAGGTTAAAAGGGTATAAATATGTCCATGGTAAGGGTAAGGAAAAAAACTTGTGACTGCTCTTATTATTATTATTATTATTATTATTATTATTATTATTATTATTATTATTATTATTATTATTATTATTATTATTATTATTATTATTATTATTATTATTTCATATGCTCCATCTATAGTGTGATT